GTTCGCTCCGTCCTACTTCATGGCTGTGAAACATGGCCAGTCAAAGTAGAAGATATTCGTAGGTTATTGGTTTTCGATCATAGGTGTCTTCGAAGCATCACTCATTTATCCTGGGACACCCGAGTGAGCAACGCTGTTATTAGGAAACGGGTACTAGGTAAGAATGGCAGATCAATAGATGAAGTAATGAAACTTCATCAATTGAGGTGGTTGGGACATGTGCTGCGTATGCCTAACCACCGACTGTCTCGACGAGCTTTGTTTTGTCATGCTGGAATATGTTTGAGGAAAGCTAGGGGCGGCCAAACCAAAACATGACAGAAATCCATGAAGTCACTGACAAGTGGACTGAGTCATGTCGGAAGGTGTCGATTACCTGGTTGGGGTCCGCGAGATGATAGTAATCGATGGTTAGAGATCTTGAATGACATGGCTCAAAACCGTCTGCAATGGTGCAGATGCATTCATTCTTTGTGTTATCTCAAGCCCTAATGTTCTAAAATTCTTCATCACTTTTATCTTTATCTTTTTAAGTCTATTTCACTAAATTCTACTTCTTGAATAATATCGTCGAACCCTAATCTCTCCGATTACCGCTAATACTTTACTTCCTCTACTACTATGAGATTTGATTTGAAAATTCGATCTTTCATTTTTAATGTGGTATGGCAACTTGATCTGATGTACCCCTGTATGAAGTTCTACATTGCTGTTGAATGATTGAAACATAGAATAAAAAGTATCTATATATTCCAAGTTTGTTTGAACCAGTCAGTCAGTCACTAACAACGTAGAACTTCGTACGTACGTACGCACATACGTACATCAGTTCCAGTCACCACACCATGATACTACAGGGATGCAACTGTCAATTCAAATCTCATAGTGATAGAAGCAGTAGAATTATGAGCAGTAATCGAAATAATTAGGGTCTGGAAATGTTATTCAGGAAGCACAAACCGGTGAGATAAATTTGAAAAAAGAAAAATGAAGGTCATGAGATTTTAAAAAATAAAACTAAATGAAGAAATGCACAATTTTGATCTTGAACCGATTCTTTTTTTGTAAACTTATTAAAAAAGACCAAGTCGCCGTCAGTCAGTCACTTGTTAAGTAGAACTTGGTATGTACGTACGTACAATAGTTTTAGCTGTTATATCACATTAACATAGAGAAATGGAATGGTTCGTTCGAATCCCATAGTAGTAAAGGTTGTAGCACAGTATTAACGGTAATCGAATAGATTAAGGATCGAAGATACGATTCATGAAAATATCAATCCGTGCGACATTTTTTTAAAAAAGAAAAAAATGGGATTATGAGGAGTTTATCTTGGAAATCGAGGTAAAACAAAGGATGAGTGTACCTATGCTAGTGAGAACGATTTAACGCCACATGATTCAAAGTCTCTAACCATCGGTTACGATAGTCACACGAACTCCGACCACGTAGTCTACACCTACGAACATGGCTGTCTATTTGCCAATGATTTCGTGGATTTCTGCCATGTTTCGGTTTTCCGAAAATAGCTTTCTTCTAGCCTGCTACTCCTACACCAGACTACATCGTCCGATGAGGTAGTCAGTGGGTTAGGTATACGTAACATATGTCGCAACCACGTCAACTGATAAACATTCACTACTACACTGATTAATTTGCCATCCCCAGCTAATATCCAACTGCTGGCCTCAGCATTGCTTACCCGATTGTCCCAAAATACATCAGAAATGCTTTGAAGACACTGATGATCAAATACTAATGAGCTACGAATATCTATTTTTAGTGGTCATGCTTCAGACCCGTATAGTAGAACGGAGCAAACTGCTGCTCAATAAACTCTGTTGTTTAGTAGACGGATATTACACCTATGCCATAAGTGTCCCAAACTGAAAAAAGTCAGTTGGGCCCTCTGTACCCGATCTGAGATCTCGTCAGTCACCAGGCCATCAGTACTGATGAGACTCTCAAGATAAGTGAAGCGGTCAATAGGCTCAACTACTTCACTCCCTATCACCAGTTCAGATGCCGAGCCTACCCAATCCTGAAGCAACATTTTGCATTTCGACGGAGAAAATCGCATCCCAAACATGCTTGCATTGTTGCGAAGGGTATAAAAGAGACACTGCATTTTATCAGCGTCTTCGCCGAATATAACTAAGTCGTCGGTATAGTCTAAGTCAACAAGCGAGTATCCTGATAGAAAGTCAGATGATGAAAGTGTCGTATCTAAAAGCACGTCAATAACAAAGTTAACTAAGAATGTATAAAATGGACATCCCTGACGGACACCACTTGCAATAAAGAATTCCGATGACAGTTCGCCATAAGCTCTAACTCGACCAATGGTGTTCGAGTAGAGCTTGTATAAGGTTAATGTACTTCTCCAGTACATCTCTCAATGACAGAACCTCACGATCCGTTGAGTCGAATGCTGACTTAAGGTCCAAGAAGACAAGTACTGTCAGACGCCTAAATGTGTCTGTGTTCCAAGACCTGTCGAAGTATGAATATGTGGTCTATACAGCCACGTTCTAGTCTGCTCTTCACGAGCTCCGGTTAGGTGTCGATGTATTATCGTAGCTAACAATTTGGACACTATACTAGTTAGACTTATTCCTCTGTGATTGTCACAAGAGGACTTTTGCCCTTTCTTATAGACTGGGACAATCAATGATTCAGACCAGTCAGATAAAATTACATCGTTTCCAGATTTTACCTAAGATCTCAGTCAACCTAGCTGCTATAACTGGACCAACATCCTTAAATATCTCAACAGCCACTATTACTACATCTGAGCGCCTAGCTATATGGATAAAAAGTTTGGGAAGCTTTAGGTAACATTCATATTTTTCCTCATCTGAGCTGCAATCAGTCGGAACATAGGCAAAGACGACGAAGATGTTACGTCTCTCTTTCCGAGTTCTTACTGTCCCATTTAGTCGGACGGTGCGCAATGGAGGTTTTACTAAAATCCAGTCTAAGAGAGCTAGTTCCGCTCTAGAACTTATTCCTAAACCTATACCAGAGAGGCCACGAGAAACAGCAGAGGGGCTTCTAGACACATGAGGTGTAAATCGAGGCGGTTTTTTTTAATTTAACAAGGTGAGGTCAAACGAATGACTCTACTCGGATCCTGTATGCGTGTTTCGGAGATGCAGCATACATCAATGGTGCAAGATTCTAAATTCCTAGCCAAAGAAGTTTATTGTCTTATCCGGCTCAAGGTTTGAACATTGAAAGCTCCGATATGCAGTTTAGAGCAAGGTTTCAGGAGACCAGGAATAGCATTTCGTGTACTCAAATCGTTATCATTGGTGGCCACAACCTGGAAAGAAATTTCTTGGGGGAACTGAATAAAAAGCTGGGTTAGCATTGGTCAGAGAGACTTGGGAGTGTCACCGCAGGGATCAATGGACAGCTGCTTGGGGCAGGCTGCGCACGGCCTTTTTATGGGACGCTTTCGAAGTGTTAGCTCCGCTACTCAAAAAGCAATACCGACGGAGACGGAAATCCTTAGGGTAAGGTGTGACATTTTTAGGGTCGACCTTCTCTAACCTCTGTCTTCCGTTTTGAGAAGGCAGCGTCTCTTCTGATGATAGCTGACAAGGAGAACAACTTACTGCTGTCACACTGTTCTACAGTAAGCAATACGACTTCGCTTTCAGACCTTAAGTTGCTACTTCTAGACTCACCGTTCTCCGATGGACCTGCCTGGCGTGGTAGGACCTAAAGGAACGTATTCCAACCAAATTAGCTCGGTTAAGTCATCACAAGAGGAAAGCCCGACCACCACATAAAGGTAGCAGCTACAGTCGGGAGAGCCTGGCAAAAATGTGCGTTGGTTTAAGCTACCGTAACCGATCAACACGATGAGATGATAATAAAGGGTTTGGAATAGTGAAACGGCAATCATGAAACGAAAGAATAGACCTTGGGAATATGGAAAAGGTATACATGAAGAGATACAAGAATTCAAGATTAAGAAGAGAGTAAAATGTGAATAGATGTAGATGTTTGTGAACGTCTTGAATGGTTTCTTCTAACTTATTTATAAACCAGCAAGCATTACTTGTTGAGGTAGGTACTCGTTAGACATACGTAACACATGTCCAAGCGACCGAAGTTGATTAAATCTCACTACCTCATCAACTGGTTTGACATCTTTGCCTATAATACTTAGATATTGCTCTCTCAGTAGATCCACGAAACGTAACCAAAGCCTCAAAGACACCAATCATCAAAACATCCAGCCTAGAAAAGTCTTATACCTTGACAAAACACACTTCAAACCCGTCAAATAGAACCAAGCGAATTGCTGTGCAGTGTATATGCCCTCTGATTAGCACAGTGACATCTCTTCTATGCCACAAGTGATACAAATCGATGGATGTAAACCGGCTTTTCTAAATCCGTGCTGACATTTTGTCAGGAATCAAACCACCAAGACTTTCAAAACAGTCAGTCAGTCAGTTGCAACATAGAACTTCGTACGTATGTACATAAGTTCATGTTGCCATATCACATTAGCACAGAGACGCAAATGTCAAATCAAATCCCATAGTGATAGTAGAGGTATTAATGGTAATGAAGAAGACTGGGGTTTGAAGATATTATTATTCAAGAAGTATAGTTCAGTGAGATAAGGTTAGAAAGACAAAGGTAGAGGTGTTGACGAATCCAGAAGATTAGGATTTGAGAGAGCACAACGAATGGATGCACTTACGCCATCGCAAACGATTCCGAGCCATGTCGTTCACAGTCTCTAACCATTGGTGACTTTCGTCTCGCGGACCCCAACCAGGTAGCCTAAATCTACCAACATGACTCAGTCCACTTGTCAGTGACTTCATGCATTTCTGCCATGTTTCAAAACAAGTGAAGTGATCACTGCACTCAACAATTTCATTCCTCATCAATAGTCCGAACATTGATTCAGACTATTCTTGAAGTAAAATTTTGTATTTAGAAGGATATGCATCCCAAACATGTCATCATTGTTACTTGAAGCAATCAAAAGATAGCACTTTGACAGAGAAGTACCTAAATAGAACTAAGTTACTTGTGTATTTTAAATGGATCAGTGAACTTTCTCCAAAGAGGTCTATCCCTAAGAAGTCAATGATCTATGAACACCATTTAAGTGTAACTGTTGCTAACATAAACAAACATAATAATACTTTACAGTTCAAAAACAACATCAAAATATACTCTTAATTAGTTCATTAGAAATATGTTGAATACATTATCATATAAAATAAGAAGACAGTAATGAATACAATTTGTAATAGGAAATGTTAAAAATAAGCTGCTGTTGCGTAATATTCTCATTTTTGGATTCACATTCTGAAATAACCTAAACAACTTCAAGTAATTCTTGTGGCAATGGATTTTTTGGATGTTTATTTTCAAAATGTTGTTTATAAGTTTTTACATCAGGTACTTGTGTTCTACACACTGGACAAGTATGATGTAGTGCTTTAGCAGCAGCTTTTTTTGAATCCACCGCGGGTTTTTTCATATCAGCTTGTTTTTTAGCATTTTTCTGTTGACTTTGTATTTTTTGTTGACCACGTGCCATAGTTTATTTAAAAAAACTAAAAGTTTAAGGGGAAAATAAAAAAGATATTTTACATAATAAATTCAATGAATAATATAAGTTGAAAAGTTATGCTGAATGACCAGTAAAAAATTTGAAAACATGCAACATAACATGCGATAACTGGAAATATGACTTATTCATTAATCATGACAAGTAAAACAGCCATACAAAATTTATGCTAGCTTACTTTTCGATTGATAAAGCTTTCAGAAATAAGAGATTTTCACTTTTATCAACCATTTATATGCATAATTAGTAGTCACTCAAGTTAGCCTTATTCGTAGTGTGTAAAAATTCTTGAAGATAAGGTGACTTCATAAAGCATCTAATGATGAAAATAAATATTGGATGCCTCAATCAAATCAATTTAGTCAAATTTTATGAGTTCACATTGTTACATAGAACATCAAATGTATGTATAAGACGTTACTGAATCAAGTAAGGCATTTAAAAAGAGGGAGCTTGAAATTACTTGTTGTATTCTTGCTTTATTTTACTTCTTATGAGGCTTTGTTTCTTCATTTTTTTTAGTACTAGGTGTATATCTTTCAGATTTTAAGAGTTAAAGTTACATTCCAAGATGACTTCCTACAAGAACTGCAGTCATATTGATATATGGGATGCCGGTTGTGATAAATTGATCGGATCTTAGAAATTTGTCTTTCATCAATTTGCTTAACAAAAAGATAGTCAGATACAGTAGTAGTAGGTAAGGATGACAGATTAAGTGATGAAGCATTGAAAATTCATCAGTTGAGATGGTTGGGACGTGTTACATAGACCCAACCACTAACTACCTCAACGAGCGATATTATCTGTAGTTGTAAGCTGGAATGAAGCTAGGGGTGATCAAACAAAATCATGGAACAAATCCATAAAACCATTTACAACAGCAATGAGGCATGTTAGTAGGTGTAGACTACGTCTTTTTGAACCTGTGAGACAATTGTAACTGGTGGTTAGAGATTTTAAAGAACACGACTCCAAAATAACTAGGAATGACGCAGGTTTATCCATTTTTCGTGTTCCCTCAAATTGAATTCTTTTAAATTCCTCATCACCTTTGTCTTTTTAGGTTAATTCACTGGACTTTACTTTTTGAACAATATCTTTCGGTAACCGCTAATGCTTCCACTTTCTCTATTACTATGGGATTTGAATTGACAAAGTGGTATGGTGATCTGAATTGATAGACGTGCGTACAAAGTTCTACGTTAAAGCTAACTGATACAGTAGTACCATATACAAGAAATAGTGCAAGTCTCGACATTTTGTTTTAAAAGCGAAAACCCAAAATATATCTGGATTTATCTTATCAACCTGGTTTATTATTTAGATATGGGAGGAGTCAATCCCAAAACCTTTTATATTATTATGGAAGACTTTCAACTTGTGCAGATAAATTATCGGTCTGCAAGATGGGACGTTATATTGTTCATTAATAATTTGACACTTTAACCATAAAACTGTTTGAAAGAATTTTTAAATTCAGATACTCGATCAATACATCCTAAACTTCGTAAAAAATAATTATAATTTAGGTGGTGAGACTATAATTTATGAAAGACATTGGTGCGACACTTAAGTGGCCCTAGAAAAGTTTAACCGATAATTAGCGTTGGATACAACAAAGTCATGAATTAGTTAAAGGAATTATTATGAGCAATAAAATTTAAAAATAAGGATCAAGGGTTAATGTAAGAATCTTGGTCACGAACTGACACCAGCTATGGTGTTGGTATACTATAAATCCAAACTTGTGAACCAAATATGTGAAATCCCATTGACAATTATATTGAATCTGACTGATCCTCTCATGAATTAGAGTCGTGTTCTTAAATATGTAATGACAAGGCTATAATTTGCTTGTTATGCAACAAAAACCAACAGATATATGTTATTATTATGATAATACTCAAAGTGTAGTGAAAGATGGGGTCATCCTGGAGTATTAAAGCTAGGTATAGAGAAGATCCAATCACTGAGTCATAAGTAGGGGAGAGTACAGAATATATTGAATAGATAAATCATTTTGGCTTACAAACCACAGATTTATTTTAGAAATTTAGTATGGAAGATAACTTCAATAAAATTAATCCCCAAAGTACTTACATTCAGGACCAAAACTAAGACTGAATGTCGCACGAACTAATATGCTCAATCCCTGACCTTCAACCCTCCAACTAGGCGCCTTGTAATTCAATATCCTTTGGATGAGCTTGTATAAACGGATTGTCAGCTTTGGAAGCTGACGTAATGACAAGAAAGATTAGGTAATAATGCAGCGAAAGTAGGTTCATACTTATTTATTGAATGATTCTGTCAAATAGATACGTCACATACACAAGAACTTCTCCGAGAAACGGGAAACTGGAAATATAGTTAACAATAAAGAACGTAACGCCAAATTAGATAAACGGATACATCGAGAATTCTGAGATGGTCATTTAAGAAACGACGTTAACAGACGATGCATTCCTCTGACTCTGAATTCTGGGTACTGTCATGCTTCGAAACTGAAAGAACAGTCGGACATTTAGAGCGCAATTCTTGGAATGAGCTGTACGCTAGCCAAACTATGGCATTTTTCAAGGGCTGAAGGGAAACCCCCTCCGTCGATGTTAAATTTAGATTCGCCACAAGTTGCCAAATAAACCTCCCTACCATGAGCACTCACGCGACCATAGCTGCCTTGTCTGTCACACCTTAAGAATAGTAAGTTTGCACGTCTGATGTCTGTGGACCTCAGAAATCAGGAAGACTTAATAAGACAGTTGATTTGATACTGTATGAAGAAGGATCTCTCTGGTCACACTAGATGTTGCAACAGCTGACCTATAAGACAACAACAGAGAGAACAAAATGAGCACCGACTAACACCAGTCGACCTCGGTCAACGAGCCTTGGCACAAGAGATGATGATCACGATCTTGCCGCGACCAGTTCCAAATGAATTCGCCAACTCTGTTCGAACAACTTGTTCAATGATCCGAGGACGGTTATCGCTACATAGGTGCAACATGTAATGAAACGAACAACCAAGTTTCTCTATAACGAATTCAGAGGACTAAGGGTGAGCTGTTAGAAATCAGGAAGAAGAGGAGGAGTGGCCATACATATTAACAGCCATTTCAAAGCTGTAACACTACACAGCAACCAGCTAACCGATGTGTCAGAATCATGCTGACGCTGCTTAAGAACAAATAGAACAAATACTTTATTAACATCCTTCTGGACGTGACGCAAACGACTTACTCACTTGATAGAAGTCTTCTTCCCAATTTATCCTTAGGGCTTGATATCGGTTTAATAAGAAACAAGTTTGAGTTACCTTAGAGGACGCAGTCAAAGCTTACGCAACTCGACATTTTATGATAAGACAACTTAGCGCTATCACTCCAGAATTATTCTTAACGTTTTTTCAGACATATACACGCCCACACAAAGCCTCCATTTAAAAGATACATAAATTTCCTGAATCGAGTAAAGAGACGAGCAACAGATGATAGAACTGAAGAAAAAATCGTAGGAAGATGGACTCCGAGGCTTGAGATTATAACCTCTGAGTTACAGGAGAATCAAAGGTGATAGGATATTGGTGTACAACATAGTAAGCACGCTAAATCACCTTCACATGAACATCTTGTCGAAACATTACTACCAGGCTCCTCGAGCCGATCCTAGAAAAATTCCGCAATAAAGAGCGAACAACCAGGTTCGTGCAAACTTATTCTCATTAGGGGTCGTTGCAACTTGTAATTCTCTCCCAACCGAGGTGACCACAGCCCCCTCAGTGGACAGCTTTATGAAGAGACCTGATAAACACGTACTGATATGCTGATTATCATCCCCCTCGTGGACCAGCTGTGCATGAGGCATGTCTTGAGACCTGCTGGTTGTTACTATTGCCATCTCATCAGATTACTGAATATATCTTGCTTATTATCTATGTTTGATCTCTCTTACTTATACTTAGGTCCCCTCTTACAATCTTTACTGCCAGTTAATAGACTGAATTATTCAGTTATATTACTTAGTTGTGAAAACTTTCCATTAGCATTAGACTTTTCTACTTAATAATCCCACATTGCAAGTAAATGATCTCTGGTCTGGTAACGTGATGGCTGCTGGTATCCAGAAACGCTGCTACCCTGAAACAAACGTACCCACACAAATCACGGGACATACAAACTCACAAACAACTGCCAGCTGACTAGAATTAGACAGTCGAGTGGCTAGACCTCCATTTTTTGGATACAACCAAAAACCTGAAACTGTACCCAAAGAGCAAGAATCGAGCGCAAAGAAATCAATTGGTTTATATTATATCGTGAAGAAGATATTGGATAACGGAGGTTTTATTTGTTTAGGAGATAACAACATAAAACACTTAAATGTAGTTATTTTTGTCTCCTTAAATGTATATACCTCTTGAAATCACAAATGCTACTAAGTTAACTTAGTTTATAAACACGCCACTGACCTGTGGCCCTTCTGATGTTGAAAGACAATTTGAGCTAATCCAGTCAAGGTCAGCGACGAAAAGGAGGTAGTTTTATTTACAAGGTCAGCCAGCAAAGTATGGGGTTGCTTCTTATATGGTATCTTCGTAATCAAAGTTGAAAGTCCCCGCAATATTATTGACTATTAGCCAAAAAATTAAAGATTCTATTGCTGATTGACAATAACTACACCCATTCAAAGACAGCAAACTGTGTTACATTTTAACCAAAATACCTTGGCAAAATCCAAGCAAACAAGTCAGTGGAAATATAAGTGAACCCTGGAAAATAAAAGCAGCACTGGTTGAAAAACATTCGGTGTTAATTTACACAACCATATGACTAAGATTCACTTGTTACACCTGCTCTTTTTATGGCTCAAAAGCCTAACATCAGCTGTCGCCAAATAACTCATTTTTCGCATAAATAGGCATAAAATTATGTTTTTGTTTACAATTTGGCTTTGTGATTTGATATTACTCGTTTAATTTGTCTTTTTGAATTATTGTCCATTGACTTTGTAAAATGTGAACGAATCATCCAATAAATTGGTAAACTCATGTCATCCTCTAAGAGGTGGGTCACCTGTGTCTTCAACTCGTCCTCAGTTGACTTGGGGACACGAAACTTTAATAACATGGAAGTACTGCTTTTTATTGTCTGGAATGCATTGTTGTTCATAATACCTATCAGTTGTTTAACATCTTAAGACAATTCTGATAATCCTTCAGAGTTAAACCCGAATTGAATTTATATCATGAAATCTGGGAAGCTGTTATTCCGCCTGATAACGATAAGTTACTTTAGCTACAAATATTCATTTTAAAGGATGGTGTCATTAACATAATAGTCGGTATATTTTAATCTTTCTTATTTCTCTGGACTTAATTTATTTTTTGTTTCATGTAATTCTGACTAATTTGATTGTTAATTGTGCTCATCAATGACATCAGTCCATTTAGTCATTTATTGTTAAACTTAATTGACCATGTCAGTTAGTTTAGACGTTCAGATTTTTACCTGTTTCATGATAGTAACTTACGATTGAAAACATTCAACAACATTACCCTAAATCTCGTTATTTTAATGTACAGAGTTTGAAAAATTAAATCAAAATACACACATTTGTGATAAAGTGTTTTCTTTTTTTTTCAGATGACTTCATTATATGCTAAAAAGATGACAATGCTTGCTGGACGAATATTTAAAGATGTCGGTAAACAAGTTGATACTAAATCAATGAAAATTTTTCGTATTATGAAAGAATTACCACGTCCAATAATTTTAAAAGATTATTATCCTCCTTTAGAAGAATATAGTAATATTTTACACCAACTACGTTATATCGGCTTGTATAGAGATGAACATGCTGATTTTCGTGAAGAAATGGCACGTCTACGTCAGTTACGTGGTAAAGGTAAACGAAGGAAAGGTGAACGTAAACAACAAGGAGGAGAATCATAAAAATGACATGATTTAATTTTGAAAGTAATATTTTGTATATATTTGCTGAAAGTATATGAATAGTATTGTATTTGATTTTTAGAAAAATGTTTGTTTCTATCTGTTAATTAAGTTGAATTCTTTGTGATACTTCTTAGTTAAAAGATTCTTGTTGAAGTAAACATTTTCAAAAGAAAACATTGAATGCTCGTTTAACGTGATCTTGTTATTAACTACTAAATAACAGTTTAGTTTAGTGGCTGTATAGACCACGTCTTCACAGTCAGACAGGTCCTGGAACACAGACACACATTTAGGCGTCCTAAAATAGTTGTTTTCCTAGACCTTAAGGCGGCATTTGACTCTGTTGATCGTAAGGCTCTGTGGCAGTATCTGTCATTGAAAGGTGTACCAAATAAGTACATTAACCTTATACAAGCTCTTTACTCGAACACCGCTGGTCGAGTGAGAGCTTATGGCGAACTGTTACCGGAATTCTCTACATCAAGTGGTGTCCGTCAGGGATGTCCACTTTCTCCATTTTTGTTTAATTTTATCATAGACATGCTCCTAGACATAACCTTATCCTCGTCTGAATCTTCTGGAGTAGACCTTCTACCAGGTAGCTCGCTTATTGACTTAGAATATGCCGATGACATTGTCCTACTTGGTGAAGATGCTGACAAAATGCAGAGTCTTCTGACTACCTTAAGCAACAATGCAAGCATGTTCGGGATGCGGTTTTCCCCGTCGAAATGCAAAGTGTTGCTTCAAGACTGGGTTGCATCGTCACCTGAACTAGTGATAGGGAGTGAAGTAGTCGAGCGTGTTGATCACTTCACTTATCTTGGGAGTCTCATCTGTGCCGATGGCCTGGTGACTGACGAAATCTCAGCGCGGATACAGAAAGCTCGATTGGCTTTTGCCAACCTGCGTCACTTATTGCGTAGGCGAGATATCCGTTTGCTAACCAAAGGACGAGTGTACTGTGAGGCAGTTCGCTCCGTTCTCCTATATGAATGCGAAACATGGCCGTTAAGAGTAGAAGATGTTCGTAGGTTACTGGTATTCGATCATAGACGTTTAAGAAGCATTGCTTGTATATCGTGGGACAACCGAGTGAGCAATGTTGTCGTTAGGAAACGAGTATTAGGTAAGGATGGCAGATCAGTAGATGAAGTAGTGAAACTTCATCATTTGAGGTGGTTGGGACATGTGCTGCGTATGCCTAACCACCGACTGCCTCGACGAGCTTTGTTTTCTACTATAGGAGTAGGTTGGAAGAAATTTAGGGGCGGCCAGACCAAAACATGGCACAAATCCATGAAGTCACTGACAAGTTGACTGAGTCATGTCGGTAGCTGTCGAATACCCAGTTGGAGCTCACGAGATGATAATAATCGTTGGTTAGAGACCTTGAATGACATAACTCAAAATGGTTTTCAGTGGCGCAGGTGTATTCATTCTTCGTGTTCTATGAAATCCAAACCTTCTGAATTCCTCATCACTTTATCTTTCTCTTTTAAAGTTTATTTCACCAGATTCTACTTCTTGATTAATATCATCGAACCCTAATCTCTCCGACTACTGCTAATACTTCTACTACCTCTACTACTATTGGATTTGAATTGACAATCACATCTCTGTGCTAATGTGGTATGGCAACATGAACTAATATATGTACGTCAGTTCCTATTGGTTGATTCCTATTGGTCGCCCTAACTATCAATGTCACATACTTCAAAGTTGTTTCCTATTCGACCTAACTGTATAAATACTCACTATCTGTAACGTTTTATGATCCGGATCATTAGTCCAGGATACTTATCCTCTTCTGGACTTGAACCACGTACTTTCTGGGTGCTTTTATAATACACCTTCTACTTCATATCAAGTCTTCTTCCTCTACTTAGTGGGCTTGGGTCTCTCGGATTGGAGTAGCCTCTCGTGTCCTCAGGTCATCGATCGTCGCTCTCGTTTACCGAATAAGGTGAACTCTTAATAGTTCAAGCGTATCAACTGACGTGGTGACGTGCATTCGTAACAATAAGTGATGCGGTCAACACGCTTAACTGCTTCACTCCCTATCACTAGTTCAGGTACCGATACGAGCCAATCCTAAAGCAACATTTTGCAGGCATCCCGAACATGCCTGCATTGTTGCTTAGGGTAGTCAGGAGACACTGCATTTTGTCGGCGTCTTCACCAGGGTGGACATCACTTACTGTATGGCCGCCTAACTGTTTTTCTAGTTGTTCCTGAAATATATTCTTAGCTTTGTTATCAGTTAGTAGAGTCCTAAGAGGTTTCCTTGCGATATTTTACTCACGTCCAGTGAGACGCAGACAAATACGCGCACTCACTAGAACATGGGTTGAGTCTAAACAAGTGCTTCAGAATGAGCGGCAGTCTTCAATTGAGTTTCTCCACCGATGGCTTATAACGATGTGATCTAGTTGGGCCCATCGTTGGGTTGGCTTTGGGGGTCACCAGGTCAAATAATGTTTTACCTTATGCATAAAGTTACTGTTCGCTAGAAATAGGCGGTTATCTGGACATAGCTGCAGCAGACGGTCGCCTTTATCTGTTCGATTAGCCACCCAAGTGTCTTTTCTTCTCACTTAGTTTACCTACTTGAGCATTGAAGTCACCAGCCATCATTACTATATCAAAGCGCTTAACCTTTTGAGGAAATTTAGAGAGGTTTCTGTACAACCTCTCCTTTATATTATCTGAACTGCAGTCAGTGGGAGCTTGGGCAGATACGACGGAGAGGCAGCAGAGAGTTCCCCTCTATTTACGAGTTCGTACCGTCTCGTTTAGTCGGATAACGCATAAGCGACTGTCTACCGGGATCCAGTCTAAGAGAGCTAGTTCTATCCTAGGACTTAATACCATACCTACACCAGCGAGGCCACGGGAAGCAGCATCAGGACTTCCAGATACACGAAGAGTAAATCGAGCTGCTTCTTTGTTTTTATAAGGTGAAATCAAATTAATGATTTTACTAGGATCCTGTTTGCGCGTTTCCAAGACGCACCATACATCGTTTGAGCAAGATTCTAACGTCCTAGCTCAAGAAGCCTGTTGCCCTATTTGACACAATGTCCGGACATTAAATGCCCCAACATGTAGTGTAGAACTGGGTTTCAGCAGACCAGGGATAACGTTCCATGGACATGCATCGTTTACATTAGCGGTGCGGAGTTGAGAAGAGTTAGTCATGGAGATAAGAGAGATGTTAGGGGTTGTAGGAAGGATTTGATTTTGGCCAATTTGGTTTCGTATGCTTTTACGGGTATGAAGGTGACTGTCACTTCCCGGCTGTTCACACCGTGGAGGCGTTCCGGTTGACAGAAGGGGCATCAGCCTCATGATTTCCGAACGAACTCGGCTTTCATCGTGAGACGTCATAATTCTTTTAAATGAAGACTTTCTAACCACCACGGCAGAGTTTATATGATTTGAATTATTTTTTCTCGTTAGTTTTTTCTTTGTCAGTTAGTTTTTTGGTGGAATAGGGTCGATAACCCCACGCCCAACCCTCCTCCTTTATCCCGGCGTGGGATCTGCAGTAGCCCCGTGTTAGTGGAACATAGATGGAATTAAAACATGACTACGTTGCTACGCGCTGATTGGCTAATTTCCTATCCAATCAGCGCCTGATCGATTCTTGGAGAACAGGGTAGAAAATTCTCGTATTGTTAGCTGCGTGCTGATTGGTTAAATCTAATCCATTCGATCACGTGAATTTCTATCCAGAAGCTTCTCATGTAACTGCTATAAATAAACTAACGTTGTATTTAATTTTGCCTTCGGCTTCCTATTTCCATTTAACCTTTTCTGTTTGGAATATAATCTTCCCCTGTTCAACCGTATTTTGATTCTTGGGAACTTGTCCAGTGTATTGTGGTCAGAGAATACTAAGCAATAGGATTTAGCCGGAAATCATATAAGAAACCGTTACAACACCCCGAAGTGTCTACAGGCGGAGTTCCAACCACCTTAACTAGTGAACATTCACTACTTCATCTATTGATCTGCCATTCTTACCCAATACCGTTTCTTAACAACAGCATTGCTTACTTGATTGTTCTGGAATACATGAGCAATGCTTTGAAGACACTTATAATCGAATACTAATAAGCTACGAACATCCTATACTTTCTTCGACCATGTTTTAAACCCGTATAGTAGAATGGAGCGAACTGCTGCGCAGTTTGCATAGAGATATCTCGCCTACGACATAGGTGATGCAAGTTGGCAAAAGCTAATCGTGACCACTGTATCTATGCTGAGATCTCATCAGTCACCAGTCCATCACAAGTAATGAGACTCCCTAGGTAAGTGAATTCGTCAACACGCTCAACCGCTTCACTCTCTATCACCGGTTCAGGAACCGTTGCAAGCCAATCCTGAAGCAGTCAGTTGCAACGTAGAACTTCGTACGTAATTACATCAGTTCATGTCGCCATACCACATCAGCACAAAGATGTAATTGTCAATTCAAATCCAATAGTAGTAGAAGTAGTAAAGGTATCAAAAGTAATCGGAGAGGTTAGGATGAGAAGATATTATTCAAGAAGTATGATTCAATGAGAAAAGTTTAGAAAGTCAAAACTATAGGGGTTGAAGAATCCAGAAGATTAGGATTTGAGAGAACACAAAGAGTGAATGCACCTGTGCCATTGCAAACGATTTTGAGCCATGTCGTTCAAGGTCTCTAACCATTGGTGACTTTGGTCTCGCGGACCTCAACCAGGTAGCCTTCATCTTACTGATAATAGTTACCTTGTTAAAAGATAATCAGCTAGATGTCTGTCTGTTGATATTTTCATATCTCAATGTTATGTCTACTGTCAAGTTGATGATGAGAAATTGAACTTTTTGAGTATATTCTAGAACGCAAAAAAATAACTCCTTCCTGTTGGTACTGAAAGAACTGTTGTTATAGTAGGAACATTACATTTCAACTCTTCTTGATTTGTGTTAATGAAATTGTTTGAAATGAGATGATTAATTCAACATTAAGAATAGGTTTTAATTGGTGTGGTTTCGAATTTTCTAATGAAATTCACCTCTGTAGTGCAAGTCTATAATAGTGTGGTGCGCGTTACTTATAAGTAGTATTTGTATGACACGAGTAAAAACGTAATGTCTGGCAGCAGAAGATGGGGGAAGATCAAGAAAGGAAGAGTGGCAACACAATGG